CTAAAAATAAACTGAACCTTTCCTTCTTCGCCCTTCAACCGTTCCAAAATATCTGGGACATTTACTTTACCCCAGAAACCCATAGATTTTTTTTATTTTTCATTAAAAAGACCACACAATATCTTTTGCCAATTCTTCGATATTGGAAACTCACTTTTCGGCATAAATAATCAGCCTTGTGTTGATGCACTTGAATACATTTCGAACAAAAGGATGCAATGAAAAATAAAAAGCGGACACTTTTGATGTCGGTGGTTTCAATGCTCTTTATCGGGTTTAGCGTCGAGATGATGTATCGGATAACTGGTGTCTGAGACGTAATTTGTCAGACTGTCAACAGAAGCAAAGATGAAACACCCGGACACAAGTAATGACGGCCTTGCTACTGCCTGTAACGCAGTGGTAGAAGATTTCGGTATTCCAGCGCCTTTATGTAAGAAAGGTTTACTTGACCTCTTAATAATTTTGTTGCGCGACTGTGCACTTTCTCGCGAAGCATGGCCGCCACGTTTGTATGCTATATTTATATGCTATATATTGTATGCTCTGCAGACTTAACTGAAGGGGTCCTAGTTGAAACCTAGAAACGCCTTTTTTGATAGCCTGCGGTACTCCCCATGGCGTTGTTTCCACCTGACGCATTCAAATTATGGCCACAGATGGCTCCGCATCCAAACTCCGAGAAGTTTCTGCGAAGATTCTATGGAAGTTTGAGCGTCGTTTAGGTAATATTTTCTCATGGTGTCCGTTGTGAGGTATTTATTTGGACGCAGGTAGAGGATGGCACACTTTTGCGCCTTTAAATCTAAAAGCCATCTCTCAAACCATGTTTGCAGTTTGCACATATTATTTTGCAGAGCTTTCTGATCGTTAGACACTTAAATAACTTGCCAGAACTTGACCTCTTCGGCAGACATGATTTTACTGTAGTTTTTTTCTCGGTGGCTGCCATTAACCTAAAGGACCATGAACGGAGTCACGAAGAACATCAGTTACCAGATTCACCCAGTTCAGTATATCCTCTGTGATACAAACGCGTTATTTTGACCGAACAATTGTGGTTTGATCTACTTCAGAAGCTTCACTGATGCCACGGACTTTCATTTTACTTAAAATTCGTCAATGGACTGTACCATGAAAGGTTGTATGAAAATCGATGCACGCAGCAGCTACTTCGACGACCTATTACTGGCCCAGACCCGTAGAGGATTCAGCAGGTTTGAGAGGTAGAAGCGTCCCCACCGAAAGCCTTTCTACAAAGCGTACAAGTCGTCATTTCCATCACTCAATTTTAATATAACACGCTTTACAAGGACCTGCATTATTTTGAAGAGGACGTAGTTCAAGTTTAAAGGGCTAAAGCTGTTGGCTGCAATCGTACTACCTCCATTATATTAGGGAACGATGCCTGTAATGAAATAGCCTAAGAAGATCGTAGACAGGATGGTGCTTAGATATTCATTTTCAAATATTTAAAAGCGTACGCATCTTTCCTTCAAATTGAAAATACAAAGGAGAATTATTTCACTATGAATGTGGCACCCAAATTGGCTTTCTAGGCGTTATTTACGCAAATCACAGTTCCAGGGGCCTCAGCGTACCACAGTCTGTCTGAACTCAATGACGTTTCCGCTCAATTTGCGTAAGAATTTGAGCTGCCATACAGAAAGTACTCACTATAACGCAAGACGGAGGCCCTAGGTTTAAAATGCCAGTACCTTTGAAAGGACACGACTGTGAGCAACAAACCACAATTCACCGCACACGCCGCGTGGTGCTCACGTTGAAGCCATTGCACGCTTCTGATTCGCTACAAATGAGACATCCGTAAACGTAACGGCACCGCCAAATGAAGTTTTTTTAAATCTGCAGGCCCCACATTGGCACTGTAATCTCAGTCAAATGTCGGTGTCTTACGTGGATGACATCTCCGATGGCAGTGGCTTCTTCATCATCCTGAAGCTTCTTGCCCGGTAAGTTAATTACCTGAGACCACGGTTCTCCTCATATGCCCCTCCGGCGAATTACGATAGAAGACTGCGACATTATATTGAACGAGCGCAGATCTTAATTTTTGTCGTTTCTCTCCTGCAATAAGCTTAGTAACCAAGTGTAGCTTTAAGCCTACAGTCTCACTGGGGGCGTTTTGCTATTTAGAGTCAGCGAATATTCCGATGTTAAACTTAAAAGTTCAATACGGCAAACACAGGTTTTCAGTAATCCATCGCCGGTCCTTTACACTTACCTAGATAATTAAATAACTGGAAGCTGGACAGAGTTAAGCGTTATCTCATGGTTAATACTCCTCAATCTCACACCACTCGCATGGCGAGATCGGCCGTTGAGGTCAGTTGGATTGGGGTAGTGTGCAAGTAGAGTGAGCAATATTGATCACAACCTACTCTACCTTCCCTCATGCAGTCCCACTGACCTCAACCCGCCACCATCGCCATGCCAGCGTTGCGAAAAAAAATGAATATTAGCCAAAGGATATTTAGAAACCCTACTTGCATGCCTATTTATCTATACACATACTTACCCCCGTAAGTTCACAGTCTGTGAAATTTAGGCCGCATTATTAGTTATTGAAAACCCATGTTTGCCTTAACGCTATTTGTTGGATTTTTAGGGTCAACATCAAATCATCCACCTGCGTTTATTAGGGGGTTTCCATGGTCATCTATATCTCTCTAAGAATTGGAGATATTAACAGCTACTGCAATGGAGGCACACCTTACCAGTCTCCTGGTATCGGCACTGGGAGTTTTTTTTACTGAGTTCATGTTGCTGTCTAATCCTTACGAATAGTACCACACCCCTATTTTCTCACAGAAGATCGTGTGCATACGCATGCTGCTTCAGTTTTTAGTTCTCTGAAGTACCTGAACGTACAGTAACATATGTAAGCTGTTGCTTGTTAGTCCGCAATGAAGCCGTTCATTTTTTTACTTTCAGCACCGTTTTTAATTATGGACATAATGGCTACACTTAAATTCGGCTCACTGTCACTGGAAATGTTGATTGTGTGCGCCATCCTCGTGTGTAGAATAATCTCGCCCAGGCAGTTTCTGTAGTCACTACCAAGCCGTAGGGTCATTGTGCTTGCTAACTGAATGAGGAATAGGGAACCAT